TATTTATTTTCCAGGTATTTGATGCATGCTTCGACCGCTATTCCACTCATAGCTTTTGAGAATGAATTGCAAATAGAAGCGGGAAAGCAATCAGTGGATGTTGGACGGATGAGAGGTGCTCTTGCAGCACAGGAAAATAGAGTGAACCAATTGATCATGGATCTCCAGACTGAGAGAAACAGGGCCGAGCGAGCGGAAGCTAACTATCAAGCGACCGCAGATTGATGCAGTGTAAGAATGAAGAAGCCGGAACGAAAGGTTGAAGAAAATGAAGATGTGAGTATTTGAATTACAGCTGCAGTACTATAAACGTTTTCTTTTTAATAATCTTAATGATTGTAGGAAATTGAGAGGCTTTTCTTTATAAGGCGAGTAGAAATCTGCTTCCAAAAAGAGGGCATGAGGAAGACTCTCATAGGGATCGTTACCGCGCACAAAGGCCCAGGGAGGCGCGCGAAAGCGCACAAAGGCCTCGTATGTTTGTGTTCATTATCGATCGAATGGAAAAACAAGGCCTTCGTGCGCCTTCGTTCGCCTTTGTGCGCCTTTATGCGCGGTCTGAACGATCCCATAATGTGCTACTCGCCGACAGGAATTCATGATGGCGAGCCTGTCGAATAGGAACGTAACTCGCTCCTCTATCGATATTCAAGGTGATGGAAAGGCAACGCTAACGCTCTTACTTCTCGATGGCACCCATATTGGTGACGGGTTTCTGCTGATCAATGTTAGCTATTGAAATGAATAAGATACTTTTTGGACTTATGCGGACCTCACATGGGCTCCGTACAGTTCGAGTGACTGTGTGGGCAACATCTGCAAGGGAGACCACGATATTCTATGTAGTGGTTTCGGCCGTCTGGCCGTGACTGACGAATATGTTCGGAATACCGCTCTGAAACGATTTGCGGCTCTGCTGGAGAGAAGCTTGGAAAGGATCAAGGGCGTTCATCTTGTCAACTTCAAAGGGAAAGAAGGATTTGTCGCTTGCGTACGGTTGGCACGGAAAACCATTATGTGCAGATCATGCGTTGATCGTTATTATCATGCACAATCATCTTCAAATGCATATAAATATTTAATCTTGCCATGTTTTGTTGTTTGATTGTAATGCACCCTAAGTAAATAGTGTATTAAAGTAAGTTACGTAAGAGCAGACGCAGCAGCAGATAGCGACCACAACTTTTTTTTTTTATCTTCGCATGTTCCCTCATACGGGGTCTGCTGCTCTAGTTAGTCTTCTCCACACTTCGCGGTTTTCAGCTTGATGTTCATCTATCTCGAGTTCTCTCAAGTCTGCTTTGATTTTGTCTATCCATCGTAACCTTGGTCTTCCTCTTCGTCTCTTTCCAGGTACTTCGACTGACATTGCCATTCTAGCGACCACAACTGTTACTGCTAAACGCCTATCATAATCATAAAAGGTCAGTATGCGCAGTTAATGTATTTGTTAGACCGTAGCGCGCAAATATTATCAGTCTCTGACGAGATCAAATGCTTACATCACGGGCGGGCTGCTGCGCTACTTTATCACTAAAAAACTTCAACGTGCTCGGACAGTTCCACTGTTTTGTTGTATATGGTGGCATATGGTTGCCTAGGAGGCCAAAGTATTTGCGCTATAACACTGACGACCCTAATTATCGATTTTCCCACCAGAGATTCCCTGTACATAAGCCAGTAGTCACTGGGTCGAATTTAACTCAGATATGTATTTTTTATGCTAAAGAACGCGAACAAGTCCATTGTCTTACTGAAGAAGAGAAGAAAATCAATTGAAAATCACGAATCACTGTTGTAAAAAATCACGGATCACGGTTGCAAAAAACACGGCTTACGACATTTTATCTAGATATTCACGGAACACGGAAATTTACTAAGCGAATATCAACATAATGAGACTGTTCGCAGGACTGTATATTTTTTTATTTTATTTTACTTTCTGAAATGATTAGATACTTGTATAATTATTGGTAAATATTCGATCAATATAAAGAGAAAACAAAACTCGCACACACTCTCTCGTTCGCTGTTGAGTGATCTACTAGGCGGTCGGTGGATATATGGGAGCGGGGGAGGGGGGTGGGGAGAAATTCAAAATCCTTTTAAAAAGTGATAAATTAAACTTAATCTAAAATTCTAAAAAAAATTTCCTGGGAACTCTATATCAGGTTAAAAGGTTCATGACGCCCATTATGTGTAGCGATGATACAGAATAGTTGTTATATATATTTATTATACATATAAGAAAGAAGGAGGGGGAAAAGACTGTTGGAGCAGCCCTACGGATGCGGTCGTAAAGGGTCACTGGATCATATCTGAATTCCTTGGCCAGCCCACGGGAGAGCAGCAGGCGGTGCTTAGCTGCGTCCCGACAGATTCTGCCCCAAACAAACAGAAACCTTGTTTACAAAAAAAAAACGCAGTCATATGTCACCAAATTTGGAGTGTGCATGCGCGTTGGGGGACCTGAGCTATGGCTTAAAAATTTACGAAAACTTATGTTGAAAGCCGTGCTGGACTTTTTTCTGAATTAGCTGGCACCGTGCCAGTTGGGTGCCAGCTGAGCTGGTACCCACCCTTTGCTCACATAAGTTTTCGTACTTTTTTACACAGATACTGTAAAAGTTTACTACAATGAAAAAAAGGCTCCATAATTCTTTGTTTTCGGCGCTTTATAACCATCTAAAAATTTCTTGGTTTGCTACGCAGACGAAAAACCTGCTTCAATCACAAAGCGCGCCTTAAGCAAACAAAACAGGTCAAAGTGCCCATCGCTGCTGGAAATGTCTTCGAAAGCGAGAACGCCTTCGGAATAACGACGAGACACGAGGATCCCAAATCGGCTCTCTCCAGTAATACCCGCCCACCCGTGCCTGCCCAACCGCTACTTCCCCCGCGGTTTTCCTCAACGAGGATTGTGGGAGTTTTTGCAGATTCCGACTTTATATTCTGAATCAGCGACATAGGAGGCCCCGGAACGGGAAAAACACGGAGGTCGAGAATATGGGTAGACGGTGCTTTCAAGCTTTGAAAAGTAGAGGTTTCAGGTTTTCGTAGATATGAAAAGACTTATGGGACAATATAATACAAGCGCGCCCTAACTTTAACTTCGAAAAAACACCACAGTTTGATAGAGAGCTTACTTCGTTATACGAATGCATATATTATAAAACGGGACGCTCGGCATGGATATGCGAAAATTAGTATAGAGACAGAAAAGAATGCACGTATGGTCAGCCAGTATACGACAAATTCAGATAAATCCATTTTAGCCTTACCACCATACCTACTAATATACCGGAGGCTACACATGTCCAAATCCAGCAATGATAGTACGCCGAATCTTGGTAACACACTTCTGAAAATGCAGCTCAAATAAACGACACATCATGGTGGTTGAGGAATGGGCGCCTGGGCCGGTAGTAATCCCCCGATTTGGCGGCAGGTTTCGTCGACAATTCGCTGGCACCTTTCCGTAAAGTAACCAGAAACTAAAGCTCCAAATTTAGGCCGTCCCAAGTCTTTTTCCAAAAAAACTTCTCGGAAGGTGCCGCCCTCGACTCTATAGAAACCTCCCTCGAAATTTGCGGTCCCAGAAATCCTTCTGTAGAAAAACATCTGGAAGTGCAGGAGGAGTTGCCGGCAGGTCAGAGAGCACGAAAATTAGCGTGCTCTTTTGAGAGATGAAGCTGCCGGCATCTCGACGTGCCCCTACCACGTCGAGGTGATGGCACCTTTGCCGACGGCGTCTGTGAGTTTGCGAATTGCGGCGATATCACATAATTTACGTCAGACGAAAAAATCAAAAAGTTCACTTTCCATCAAAAAACTATCATTTTTCTCATTCTATGAGTTTTTCTTCTTTAACGAAGATTTTCTTACAAAGAAAAAAATCTAATAATGCCTTAGAACCATAAAGGACATCATCTTTTTTGGCAATCACTTCTAAATCTCGTTTGCACCGGCACCCCTTTCTCGCTCATATCAATCAGGTGTTCTTTCAGATCAAAGTCTCTCACGCAAAGTATCGATCACTCTTACAGGCGGCCACTTACCAGTGCGTTCCTCCTATTGCTGGTGCAAACGTCAATGACTAACCGAATGGTCGAATGGTTGACGTGGTGGCACTTGAAATCAACGCACTTAGGTTCGACTGCGTGCGAGGTAACAGTTTTGCGGCTGTCTGCGTTATTAGAATTCAATGTGCGAAATGATTGCGTACTGAGGTTATACATATAAGATTATTGAAACCTACAATTACTCCGCGAGCTGCCGCCGAAGATGGCAACTTCCCCGCGATATGTGCCTACTTGTCGGCATCTTTGATGACACCAGGTAGGGTAGATTACTACCGGCCCTGGAGAACATGCAGTGCTCTTCAATAAAATAGATGTTTTCTCGCTGTAATTTCGCAACCATTAAAACTATCGAAAACTTCCCATCGAAATCTTTATAGAGCCATAGGCGCTTGTTGTTAATTTGATTGTTACCAAGTTGCTCGCTTCGAGGGATACCGAACTTAGGTACCTAACAGCTTGTACCGCAACCCGTGCCCTGCGCTATTCTCACGAGGCTTTCGGAATACAGCAACACGGTAATCGCCGCCCCACGGTGAACCATTCTGGCACCTAGCCAAAAGAAAATTGATATATTGCAGGCAAGCTCTGGCGTGTTGCCAAAAAACGCAAATCAACTGGAAAGCCCATTTCGGAGTCAAATGGACGAAGTAACGATTTGGCTCCAAATGTATATATGTGCAGTTATGCTTTAAGTACGAAGATAACCTGAATTACAGAGAGAATTAAACTTTTTATTACTTTCTACATAAAATACATAAAACGCTGTACACATAACTTTACCAGTATCACAAGAGTTTTACCCGTGTCAATAGAGAATTCGGTTTATGAAGGATATGCTCATGGGAGCTTGACAAGACGTCCAATACAAAAGTCTATCTTGACCCAACTACAGTACAAAAATCATAAAATTATAATTTCTTAAGCTCTACGATACTGAGTATTATTCGCATTCAATGTCTTGCGCAGTTTGCTGAGATTCTCTTTGACCAAGCTATTTCTTGGATTCAATTGCAACGATCGCTCATAGAATTTCTTTGCTCTTCCAAGTTTTCCATTAATGTGAAGTATTGCTGCATAATCACCGAATGAGTCAGGGCTTGGATGGTGACTTTGCAATTTTTGCAATACCTGAAGCCAAAATTTTGTTGCCTAATAAAACTGACAAAGTTTCATCTACCTCTTCGCATTTGCTGAGTTTACCCTGTTCCCGCAGAAGTATAGCGAGTGCTCGAAGCGTCTCTATATGATTACAATCAAGCTTCAATGCATTGGTGTAGGCAGATTCAGCATCTTCGAAATCACCCTAAAATGGGAAACTTTTCAGAAAAACGACCTATACTAAATCCATAACTTACACGCAAAGCAGCTGCAGTCCCGATATGATGATAGACCTTCGCCGAATTCGGTGAAATGGCCAATGCTCGCGAAAAATATGTTTGCGATTCGAAGGTGCGGTTCTATAATAGAGGCGTTCCCTAAACTTTGTCTAAATTCTACCTGCTCTCCATACCTGCTTATTTTTCAGGTAACCCAGGGTTAGTAGTGACGGGATATGCTCTGGCGCAACGTCCAAAGCGGCATGGAAGGCTTTCTGTAAGTATGTTAGGTGTTTGCTTTTAGGTATAAATGTCAATCAATTCTCGATAAGCTACTTTTCTTTTTTACAAAATTCAGTATTACAGCGAGAAATTAGAAATTTTGTACAAACACTATTTGAGTCAAAAAAGAAGTCTGCATATTTTATCTCTTCTTTGGTTGACGAAATCAAACTTAAAAGCTGCGAGTATACTTTTCGCAATGAAGTTAATTTTAAGAAGATCCAAGCGTCAAAGAACAAACCTCAGCCTTGGAGTACTGCCCTTGTGCGTCAAAGACCTCCCCTAAAGTGAACCATAAAGAAGGGAGAAATTGGTAGGACAAAGGAGCTTCTTCGATTGCCTAAAACCGAAATTTTTTATTGAATTACGTATGCCAATCGCAAGAATTGTTAGAGTGATTTGAGAAGTGACGACCATATAATTTCTTACATTTTTTTCGTCAAGGCCACTTTTGCCGAAAAGGTCATAAAAGATAGGTTGATTTTGAAACATTTACACTGTATATTTATGCAAGTAGGGTAACTGTCAACAACCGATATAATGCATAGAACTCTTAGAACTATCATATTTGGAAGTGAAGGATGGATAATAGAAATTTGGAGAGATTTTTTTGGATGTTACTCATGCCGCTACCCTTTGTTCAGCATGTCAAGCAAATTATTTTCTCCATTTCCACCTGACTTGCTGTTAGAGAAGAAAGCATCTGCAGTGCCGCATGGCGAGAAAAAGGGAAAAAACGACAGAGGGAAGAGAAAAGATGACTTGTGACAAAAATTACAAATTACGGTGAGAGAAATTCTAGATCGCTTGTTTGCTGAAAAAATTTTTTGAAATATATTAATTTCTTGTATGGAATATACTGGGTAAATGTTCAATTCTTAGATTTCATAGCAATGCGTACCTTCTCTAATATAATTTGAGCCTCTTTGAACCTCTTGTGGAGCACATAGAGTTTCCCAAGACGAAGTCTGCAGCTAGTTTGCGCGTGATCATGGTCCCTACGTGCTTTAATTATGGAACCATCAAGCTGCGAACACCGCTTCCAAATTGTGATAGCCGAGCTGTCGTTGCCCAGCTCGTGCTGGACAATTCCGAGATTGAGGTAAGCTGCAAATGGATTCATTTGTTACAGTGTGGATGAAGCCGAAAAATGTGCAACGTCCTTACCAGAAGCAAATGTACCCCGAAATTGGATGGCACTTTCGTAACACTTCACCGCAACAGTGTAATTTTTCTTCTCTTGATAAAGCACACCTCTAAAGCTTACAGCTCAAGAACTAGCAGGTATCCAAAAGGCTAAAATCATATAACTCACAAATTATACCAAGTGTCCGCCATATTTGGTCGGTGTCTCAAGGCATTTTTGTAAGCAGTTTCTGCTTCATCAAATCTCAACTGTGCAGCATAGACTCGCCCGAGATTGGAGTACGCTAAATTTACCGTTAGCAATGAAATTGAATTTATTAGCCATTGATACCTTTGGGTGGATTTACAGTTAGCGCACTTTTGTACAAGCTTTCTTCATTTTTCCAGTCGAGGTTTCGTTGATAGGTTCTCGTTCCTAACATGGTCAGCACCAGTACAGCGAACGATATTGTAAGTGTTTTACCTAGTCTAAACAGTAAACATGAAAACAGTAATAGATCCAAATGAAAAGGAGACAAAGAGATCAATCTGCAGTTTAGAAAAAAAATAGAACGCTTCAAAATCGATAATAATTTATAAGACATGTTTGCAAAATTTTGAGCGAAAAATGTTGTAGTTTTGATGAGCAAAAAAAAATTTAAGGGTCATAAAGTCAAAACTGAAAATACCTCGAGCAACAAGACTTGTACAGCATTCCCAACAAAATGCAGTAGCCTACACTAGGCAAATACAGTATCCTCTCTGCTGCGACGAAGCCAACGTAACATAATAAGTTGGATGATGGGAGATGGGGTAAAATCAGGAACGACAAGGCGAGAAGCACACTACGAGCGCTCTCCTAAATAAGTATGTAATGAACGTGTTATGAGATAGTCGAGGGATAGACGCTTATGATTTGTGAGATGATTTGTCAGTGATTCGTCCGTAAGAGAGCTGATATAATTCTCTTATATCAAGAAAACCACTGAGAATTTATGTAGGCATCTAAAAGTTCAAAAATGAGCCCGAGATATTTGATTTTCCGACTCAGAACATGCACTTTTCACCTAATGCGGGAAGAAGGCTTCGTTGTGTAACAGTCAAAAGTTATGAGAACTAGTCAGAAAATGAGTTTACTAGATTAAGTCAACTTCGAGGTTTAGGAGGAAAAAGCCTGACAAATTGCTCAGTTTAGTGTGCATGAGCGATGACGGCTTTGAACTTAACATTTCAACCCACAATCTTTGGAAAAAAAAACAACAAACTTACTTCATTTCCCTTCATTATGGCGTTTGTTCTGAGTATTCTCGCTTTGGCTCCGGTGGGAAATAATAAGTCGCGAATGATGTTTAGCAGACCACATATGCGGGCCAACTTGTAAGCGATCGCCAGTAAAGTGAAATAGAAGGCCGTAGTGAAAAGAGCGCGAGGTTCTGTGGCAGATGTCACAAGCGGAATGGAATCCATTGACCAATCGAAGCTCAACTAAAATAAGCTTCTTTCTGTTCAAAAGAACAATTAGCAAAAAATAGCAATCTTCTTCCTAAAATTGTCGTTTTTCATAGACTATCTATAGTTATTAACGGTCTAAAATTCTTTTGTTTACAATGCGATGAGAATAAAAACGAAGGGTACTGACAAGGGAAGGAAGGTTGGTCGAAGTGGGCTTTTGAAATGAGGTGTGCACTGCCTTGTGGAGTTTGGAACGCTGATTCCAAATCTACCTTTGCTATCTGCTGCGGGCTTCTGGGCGAGGAGCTATGAAGGTTTTGTGAGTAAAAATCTGAATGCAAAAATACGGTAAAATCACTCGTAACCTTTTCCCAATGTTCAAATGAGGCAGCAGCGTATTAGTATATTTAAATCAAGAATATTTGTTGCAGCGAGTGATCCGACTACCAATTAAGCCCTATAAAAAATGCTACGACTGATTTTAGCCTACTCATGCATTCAGATTTTTACTCACAAAAACCTTCATAACTCCTCGCCCAGAAGCCCGCAGCAGATAGCAAAGGTAGACTTGGAATCAGCGTTTTAAGCTCTGAAAGTAGTACACATCACATTTCAAAAGGCCACTTCGACCAACCTTCCTTTCCTTGTGAGTGCTAGTAAAGCAGGGCTCGGCACGAGGTGGCTAGATGAAAATGGAAAAAACGAAGTCCCTCTTGTCTTTTGGGAATTTTTACGAAGTCCCCTTTGACCCTCAACCAAATTTCCTCTAAAAACCTGAAAAATTCTTCAAAATCCCCCAAAAAACGAAACGTCGACTAAAAAAAACGTCGCCAAATCGCCAATTTTGCGTCTCTATTCGGTCACAAAAACGAAACCCCCTTTGCTTTTCGTCCCAAAAAACGATACCAGCTGGCTTACAAGCCACCTGTGCCGAGCCTTGTACATAGTAAAGAACAACCTATAAGGTAGACTTCCTTCATTCATAACCTCGCTGTTTTGCGTCTATCTTCAAAAGAATGAAATCTTACCTCTCGTGGATCAATCATGAGATTCAAATGGAAAATAGGCAGATAAAGAAATGTGAGCGTACGCACAAGGAACGATGGAAGATGTGCAACTGGGTTGTCCGACTTGGAGAAGCTAAAAGCATTGATAAAATCATACAGAAACAGCACTACTACTGAGAACGAGGTTATTACGTACCTAGGTTTTTCGAATCCATTGATGGCATGCCGAGTCGTTGCTAAGATTATGAAAGAAGATAGTAGACCGAATATCACTTTTCGAAGCCTTGTAGGCTTCTGTAAATATCGTGCTTCAGTGCTTCATAGTGTAAACAAGCACAACTGTTCCTTTCTAACTATTTCGGACTCAAATGAATTAAATTTTTCGAGCATAATCAATTATTCACTTATATCTCTTCATTTCCATACGCGCAGAGATGCGCTGTAATACCTGGCGAAGGTTGAGGATATAATTCGAAAACGTTTTTGGTACAAGCTTTGAATCCATATTCCACCTAATCTACTCTGTTTGTGCGATATCATTTGTGTATTTCGTACGGAGCACCGTTGTCACAGCCAAATGGACACAACATGCCGGAAATAGCTTAGAAATAGCTCTCGTCAGTGGAGAACATTGTTTATGCATGTGCGGAAGGGTCAAAGACTCGTGTGAAAGTTAGGTTAGGACAATAATCGGATTACAAGTACTAATTACGAGTACAATTTGCGTTGGAGTGCGGCGTCAAGTACTCTATCAGCAAAGTTTGAAACCATGCTAGTGCTGACAAAAAAGTTTCGGTCAAACCGCCAAAGAAGAGAAGTGTGTAGAGGCAGGCGCTGCTCTAAAGACAGTGTCCCTGGAACTTTCGTTTTTCAGTCTTCAAATTTTCGGCGTCATCTCGCCATGAGGAGAAATCCATATCTAAGGTTTTCAGCGCATGAAAATGGCAAAAATGAGCTTTTCTCGAATCTTTCCAGGTCCGCATTCGATGAAAAATTCGTGTAAGTGGGCGGAGTCCGAAACGAGTAAGGCGCAGTGCCAAGGATTTCCGGCGTATTTTCACCGAATGCGGACCTGGAAAGCCTCGAAAAGGCTCATTCTCGCCATTTTCATGAGCTCAGAAGCCCAGATATGGGTTCCTCATGGCGAAAAGGCTCCGAAGAGGTGAAGAACTGAACAGCGAAATTTTGCCAAGACGCTGCCTTCAACCTCCATTGGCCCGAGATTGTGGCGACAACTTTTGAGATTCTTTTGATGCTTTTCAACTTTAGCGTCCCTATAACACCGAAATTTTAAAAAAAGAGGACGTGGCGGCAGCTATGCTAATTTGAATTCATAGAGAATTTCCAATAAATTGGGAATCTTCCAATAAATCAAAAGAATATGTGACTTTTACAGTTTAATAACTTATGTCTTAGACGCTGAGATCTTCTGTTAATTGTATATAAGATGTAGATGAGATTATTGCTACAACTGTGCATTTTATGTGCTATGAGTTAAAGTCTCTGTGACGGTTAAATTCAAAGCAATTCTTTCTTTTGTATAAGATGGGCTACAGTGTGCTCATTCTTATTGTTAGTTATTTTTCTTGTGCACCCCTTTAACGATGTACTAGTCAACTATGCCGAACCCCAAGAATGTTGTGCAGACAGCCGTGCCGTGCTCATCCCTTCTTTGTGTTGGCGGTGTTGTGTTCGGCGTTAATTTCTTACCTTCCGTCCTTGCAGCGGCAATTGCGCGCGTGCGCCTTTGAGTGCTCGTTTCCGACGCATCGCTAGCGGTGCTCCTAATGAGCTGCCGATCTTCGCCTGACTCTCAGGAGTCATCAACGGATGACAGCGCCGACGTCAGCACTCAAAGAGCACGGCGAATATTCTAAGAAATTTGAGCAGACAGAGGTTTGACAAAGGAAAAAATGAAGTACCATATGCGCATCGCAAAATGGGAATTCTATGCATTTTCGTCAAATAAGTCCGCTCTTGCTCAATTTCGGCTACAATCACATTTTCTGAACCAAGCAATCCCTCAGAATTGAGTTGGGAAGGAGTTAAGACTTGAAATACAGGCGTCATGACTTTGCAAGCCCTTTTGTTAATCATAGTTTTCCCAAAGCTAAAATGCGAGTCGCAGTAAAGTGGATTGCATTCTGGCCATTCTGACTCAAAAATCACGATGTCATTTCCAACGACAAGTTCGAAAAAACATTTTTTAATCTGACTGAAGCAAAATTTTGAACCATATCCACAAATTTTTTCCTGTAAGTGGAAGACGCGCTTTTGAAGCGCTGTATGCAGGAACTGAGCCTTGAGTAGAAGGATATCATTATTTTTTTAGAAAACTCCCATCACTTCACAGAGCTTTCTTCCTTCTTCTGCTGTTTATGCTTTTATTCACGAATTAAAGGAGGATATTGAAAATGACAAGTTTACCTTTTTATAATTGAGCAGTGTGATACAGGCTAGCATTGGAAGCAGCATAATTCCTGTCTCTTTGAAAAATATTGCAGTTGCAGCAGAAGCGGCAGCTATCAGTAAATTCTGAAAGTGGATAAGAAGTATGACTACATCCATTAGACAATGGGTTAATCAGTACGAATACCTCATTATGCTTGTAAACGAGAATTCCCGTAATGACAGCGATTGCGCTAAGAATATCGGCTCTGCCTACGACACCAGCTACAGCTTCACAGTGTATTGGATGTACGGCGAAGAGCAGACTCGCGAATATGGCTGCTTCTGAAACAGAGCAGTTTGTCAACTCTACTGCTACTGCTGTGATTTTCATACGCGGAACATTTTGCTAAAAACGTTCCAGTTAACCTTGGAAAACAACTCTGAAATATCATGTCATGAGACCAAAAATTTTCAAGATTTTTTTAGTAAGGAAATTTACAAGGAAAATTTCTTACGGTCTTAAAACACCTCATAAATAAAGAAGATATTGTCGATTATAAAATATAGAAACATTTTGTTTTCTTTCCATCAACAATCTATCTCAAACGAGAGTTACTACAAAATAGAAGGACCTAAAAACCATTCATAGTTTTTCATTATATTGAAATCAACACACGACAACGTGACCCACATGGTGGATCACGCAATGGTCCTTGTTTCAGAAATTCTATTATGGTGTATACCTACAAATTACTTCCGCTTTTCTTGGCTGCTTCTCAAAAGCATTGTAGGAATACTGTAGATACAGTCTGCTTGATTTTAGCTGAAAATTCTCAACTTAGTCGTGAAGACATTGTCCCACGATGCAGACAGCTAAAAATGCGCGCTGGTTAAATTGCGCCAATAAGGCATATAATAATTCCGTCTTTCGACTATGATTGAAAAAAAAAACAAATTCAGAAAGGAAGAGATGTGCCTCAATTTATTATAAAACAGGTGCGGGAGAGGGTAGTCCAATAAAATGGAGCACAACCTCGTTAAAGTAATCGCAAAATTTACCTCTGTTTTTGTTGAAAAAGTTGAGTTCTTCGACGATTTGCAATACGAGGCACGAAGCGATTGCATGAAGAATCACATTTGTAAGGTGGAAGCTGAAAGTACTAAAATAGGCAATTGTGAATTGTAAACTGTGTAGGCGAAATTATTACATCACATTTTATTCGAAAACTCCTGTTCCACCATTTCTTCAACAAAATCGTGTACTTACCTAGCTCCACCATCACACATTGTAAATTATGATTAGTTTCCCGCTAACTAGCAATAGCAAGCAAAACTTTCTTTAGAAAATTGGTTTTTCCCAGTATTGTAGAGGGTTACTTATTATATGGATCAGACCATACAATAAGTAACCCCAAGGACCAGACTGTTATATGGACCATTACAACGATACAATCAAATTTGAGGAATACCGTGGTTGCAAAATGGGTGATTTTGTTATAGTCGTGAATTTACCACACTTTCATGCTCTGAATGCCTCGTTAGTTTCAAGAAGAGCTACTGCAAAAAAAAAAAACAAATTTAAGATATCAAGAAGCAAAGGTAAAAAGTGAAAGAAATGATTGAACGTATTCACAACACCAACATCACGTCATTTTGGCTATGAAAGTTTGAAATAAAGCTAAGGCTCCAAACTTGAAAGCCATTTTTTCATTTTTGTCCTTCTTTTCGTATAACTTTATGCAGCTTGCATTTATCCGATGTTTCTTCAATTGTGTACTGATTTCTAGCGGTGTACGCATTTCCTATATCGCCGCGCAAAATCTCGTTTCACCCTATCCACTCAGCGGTAATGCAATTTATTTGCTAGATGGGTATTTAGGTCTAAGGAACAAGCCCACCATTAGTGATTTGAAAAGAAAGGAAAAAAACAAATTACTTGTGGGTTAAGTGTGCAAGGACCCCTCCCCCCCCCTATATTTTCAAGTAATCGAGATGAGTACGACAATTATGGGTGTCTTAATTTGTTGTGCCCTTCGAGAACATATGACGCTAAGAATACGAGAAGGTGCCGACTATGTGGATAATTAACGGAATGAGCAAATGACTCAGCTAAGACTCACGAGAATGGTCTCAGTCCAAATAAGGCGGCATTGAGCCGGAAGCTGAGCGTGGTGAGCGGACGATAACTTTTGTGCGATGCCTTCATAAGTGGATTACCCCAAAAATCCAATGTCCATGCTCGAGCAGCTCCAACTCGACCGGTGACTACTGGGTTGGTGAGGATAGCTTGGCTGAAATAAATATAATTCACTGATTGTTATCATAAATCCATCTCTCCGACTTCTTCAGTGAAATTCTGATTATACATTTTCAGTTTCGTTTCTCGAAGAAAAATGCAAAATTTATATGAATTCTTTCCATGAGAAACATTGGATCAACTTCCACTTTTCTTCCCCTCCTAAAAAGGCAGTATATAGAAAGTATTTCATATAAATCGCAAAATCTGCAAGCAACCTGTTTCAAATCATAAAAATAATAAAAAATTCTTAATCTATAAATAATAAGTAGTATTGCAAGTCTTGTAAAATATCGTTTACTTTGTTACTAAGTAAAAAATTGAAAGGCAGAATTTTCTAAGGCTTTCTCCATAAGCCTATTTCTCTTTCTTACGAATACTAATAGGTTGTTACATAAGTCTTGTTACACTTTGGTTACTTACAGCAATAAGTCCTACGCTTCACATCTTCACTAGGGCTTCAGGGTACCATTCGATAGAGCAAAGCAAGCCCTACAAGATATCATGAGCAGGTTCGCACTAACTTCGACCCGCCGCAAGTTTGGAGCCGAAATGCGAGTCGTACTCAGTGCCCAAACAATCAAAAAATTCTGTATCTCTGTTCAAAAACATCCTACGGATCCCGCTTGCTCACATAGATAACACTTTACATCAGGCATTCATATATACAGTTACTGTATTTTTTGCTTAGCTAGGAGTCGAGAAAATCGAAATTTTTGTACTTACACAAAATCGAAGCTATGCTGTTTTCACGCATGTAATTGTTTACTACAGGCCTTAAGAAATATAAACGTAAATTTTCAGCCTTTCATAAGGTCGTTTTCGAGAAATGTTAATTTCAATGTGGAACATCCGAGTTAAGAGGGCTAAATTCGATGTATCTCGAAAACTAGCGTTTGTGCGAAGCTGAAAATTTACGATGTTACTTCTTAAGGACAGTAGTAAACAATAACATGCGTGAAAACAGCATAAATTTGTTTTTGTGTAAGTAAAAGAATTTTAATTTTCTCGACTCCTAGCTAAGCAAAAAATACAGTAACTGTATATATGAATGCCTGATGTGAAGTGTTATCTATATAAGCAAGCGGGAGATCCATAGGATTTTTTGAACAAAGATATAAAATTTTTCGATTTATTGAGCATTGAATGCGACTCGAATTACGGCTTTGAACTTGCGGCGGATCGAGGCTAGTGCAAACCTGCGCTTGCCATCTTGTAGAGCTTGCTTTGCTCTCTCGAGTGGTATCCTAGAGCCCTAGTGAAAATATGAAGCGTAGGACTTATCGCTGTAAGTATACGGAGTGTAACAAGGCTTATGTAACAACCATATATTTCTTAGGTCGGTGGTTCTTTCTAACGTCTAAAATGAATATAATGACCAGCGCTGAGATGTATATTTGATAGATGAACAGTAATTATTCGAATAATTTCTATTTCAATTATAATTGTAAAAAGTCGGAAAACGTTTCGGTTTTTCTCCTGTACTTGGAAAATGCAGGTCAATTTCTAAAGTTATAAAATTTATCATCTTCTTCAGCTCTGGTTGTTTTCAGAAAAGGATATGATGAAATAAGCAAGGGTATCGTCGTTTTTTGGTGGCATGCTGGGGTTTGTGTTTACTGCTTTCAGAGAATTCTCTAAATTGATACTACAGCTAAGAATGGTCAAAACACGTACTATGAAACACAAACTCTTTCTTTATCCTTTTCTCATTTGTATTAGCTAATCTAGCGATCTCCATCTCCGAGATAGCATTTGCCATATCTGGGATAATCCCATTAAGAGCAGGTAATGGAAATTATCAATGGCGAGCAAATGGGTTTGTATCAGATCAAATAGAAGCTTGCCCCCTAACGCCAGCAAAGCCACAGAATACCAGCTCTTACATTTGGCGGATCGTCGTCTACAATGCTATTGCAACTGACTGTCCCTAATGTTCGCGTTGCTAAAGACTCCCTTGACATGCAAATCCATTCCTTAGGGAACTTTTGTGCCACCTCGACTGACAATGCAATCCATCAACATGCTCAGCTCCCTAGACGCGCATTCCCTAATTTACATGCGTACGAACATAGGCCCAACGCCGAACATCACACTCGGCATTAGTGTTCGTGAATGACTTTTACTGCAGGTGGCAGAAGGTGTTCGGGACTGTTGTGCAAGAGCATAAAATTCTTCTCAAAAAGGTAGCAGCATAATCAAATAATCAGTAGACTGCCATATATTTTCCGACACAAACAAATAACAAATAATACTCAATTTGAATCTAAGCGGAGCACAGGTATTCGAAGCAGAGCAAACTCGAGAAGATGGCCTCTAGAAGGCAGCATGATAATTTTTTATTTTTTTCACGAATTCCGAAACAAATTGAGGACTTAGTTGCGACAAAACCGGATCTAACCCGAAAATCTAGAAACCTCCTACTTATGCCAGTACTAAGATTCAACACTTATGCATAAATTTGCCGCAGTTTTTCGTAGTCAGAACTCAATATTGGGCAAAATGTTAAATTCCGCCCAGTTTGAAGAAGAAAGTTGAGCAGTACATGGCGACTTTCCCTAGGTTCGTGTTCCTTCAAAATAGATTAGCTCATACATCCAACAGTACAGCTACATTTTTTAGGTACCCTATTCTTGCAAAGTTCAATGGTTTGAGGCTTAAAAAATCACAGACAATTCAATATTTACAATTTGAAAATTTCTTGTATCATGTGGATGTGTTTTTCACCCACTTTTCTATCATCTGAAGGAAGGTAAAATTTTACCTACTTGTAGAGATCACAATCTGCTCAGTTTTGCAAAGATAAAAAACATTCATAGGAAGCTAATAACATGTGAATGCTCCCTCAACACGAAAGCTAACTCTAAATTTTGACGTACTTAGCCATGTAAGAGCAAAATATCAAATTACTATTACTACTGACTTTTCTGAGCTCCTAATCAAATAATGGAAACTTATCTTGCAAAAACTGCATTACTAGAGTTTAACAGAAGTCCAATTGTGAAAAACTTTTGTCTGCTTACTAAAAGTGTGAGGTCAAATCAAAATTGATAGCCAGCTCAACTGCGTTTGAGAGGATGATGTAGCAGAGACTTGTTCTCGAAATTTTTTTCTAAAAGGCATAGGAAACGTCCATAAGCTTGAAATTCAACAAACCTGTCATCGTAGACAAAATCCGCTGTAAAGGTGTTGCTAAACAGTAAAATCGCAGTTGTGAATACGAGTATAAAGGCATAATTCCCACGAAGTCGAGCAAGGACGGACATCATGAGTAGATGAGAGCTAGTCACTTTCTTCGCCGCCTCAAAGGAGACCCTCACAGCGTGCAAAACAGCCCCGCCCTTGGATGAGGCCAAGGTCCACTGAGAAAGATCTACTCGGAGTGACAACATTTGCATCAAAGAGGATAGGATTAGTATGAGCTGCTAGGAGCTTGTTGTTTCGAGCGTAGAGGTTATCTCAGCGATATTTGCGCGTAAAATAAGATTGTGAAGAGGCTAAGAAAATTAGATTTCGTGCAAAAAATGAAAGGAAAATGTCGTTCTGTTTTCCTGCGTTCACGGAAAACTTGGGGTCCGCGTTTTTAGGTAAGAAACTCTCGAATGTTTGGTAACCCTATTTCCAACTTTCTCTTCTCTCCTCTTTCCGTCATCTCTTCTTCCCATCTTATAGGTGAGAAACTGTCTGCTAACGCAGATTCAGACCAAGACTGGTCTCAAAGAACATATTCACCCATATATATTTTGTGGGGTTTTCTGCCTCAAATATCACAAAAAAGTCCTATTACAGATAATTTTGATGTGTAAGTATGCTATGGGAAGAATATAAGTGCATGGTAAGCGAACAATCACGCAGGAGTCTACGGACTAAGATTCGGGATTGGTCTAATTAGTCTGTGGCTAGTGTTTCTACCCACAAATTGAGCTATTCCGCGTGATTTATGGTGATGAGCAGGGAATGCGCCATGTGAACTACATATGGTCAAACATTGCATTTAGTAGTCTAAAGGTCTTGTGTGATTTAGTCATTCGTCGATTATTGAATACTACAATGACTGAATAAAATATGAGTTGGCTGACGATCACTAATTTAGATCAGCTTGTTACAGAATCTTCTCGCGGGAGGAGCTCAGGACCTATAGGGGTGGAGCTTGCCATTTTACTCCATTCATTTTCCTTTATTTCTAGCCATGGAAAAGACACGGAAAGTACACAATCAAATATTTGATCTGTCAAGCACATACTAAAATAAATGGGGAAATTAAGGTTTTCTGTGGCGGAGATACGATTTTTGTCGGTAAGTTTGTTTTTGACTGTTATCAGATTTCAGCTCAAAACTTCACGTGGAATACGATTTGAACAAACTCTCTTGATAGCAATCTTGTAGAGCTTTCTTTCCTTGTCGAATGATTACGTAAGCCACATTAAATGGAGAAATGATACCAAAAGACGACGGATGTAGTAAAAACGGTAAAAAATTACGGGACACTTTAATAATTGAGTTACGAATCGTTATCATAAGTGAAGCAATTTTCTCGAAAGGGAATGAACCTTTATAGTGATCTAATGATAACTCTTTATAGCAGCTGAGCTCTTTTTAGAGTGAGGATCACCTTCGTTCTACCCTTGCACTATCACATCAATACAAGCTGATGTAATTAAATGCAGCATTTTAGGCCTTCAAGCAAAACTTCGAGTTGCCTGGCAGATGACGAGTGTCTTCTCATAGACTCAAGCAAAATATGGAGTGTAAAAATTTTCTTTCACTATGATGCGGTAAGCTCCACTGCATTATTCTTGCCACGTTTCGTACATATTCTGTCAGAAATTGCTGAGTTCCCGGAAAAAGGTACCAGCTTCTTCTTTCTAACTTTTTTTCATGCGCTGATAAGGCTGCATTAGCTTTCGAAAGCAATGACCGTGTTTAGCGTTAACAAATTATGATTTATTGCAATTGTTTGACATACGTTTCTCAAAGATAGCACACCCATTCTTGGCATTATACAAATCAGTATTTGCATATTCTTACCGCAACTCTCACGAGATGGCAAAATTTGGCTGACGATGGGTGCATTTGTAGTACAGGAGAGTAATTGCACTATTAAAATGTTCCTGCGGCGGCTTTTTGTTCTTTAATACACTCTATATGAAGGTAAATTGAATTTGCAGCATGAAATTAAACCCTCATAAACAATTTCTACAATTTTTTTGACAATTTCAATACTATTTCTCCATGTGCCAGGTAGCGTAGCTTTTCCTAAGCATGCTGTTTGCATCGAGAAAAGTGCATTTATTTTCCGATGGGACGTTTTAGCCATATTTTTCACAACCGTACCCGCAGATGACTAGAAGCTATTGTTCTCAAACACGATGCATCTAAGACTGGATTACTTCGCCGGTTAGCAGGCTTGAAATCCATTATCAACAAATCGAAAACATTACTAACTTGTCGCTTCTTAAGAATCAGAGGCCGAACTGGTGAACTACCTCGATTAGATCCTGAAATCTAGTAGGTAAATCCATTTCTTAGACTTACGCCTTTAACTCTAAAATGGTCATTTCCACGCGGTAAAAATAAGATCGCATTACTCGAACCCCATTTTGAGCTTTTTAAAATGGTGCAATTTCAATTTTAAAAGTCTTACCGACACCGCTCTCAGCCTTTTCTTGCAGTAAACTCAGGCATTGTCTATGTTTGATTTTTTTTGCGAAGCTATCGTCTGATGTACTGCAAGCCTTACCTTCGCCCGGATTTGTTACATATTTTTGAAGTTGAAATCATTAGTTCTCGATAGTCTTACTCGTCTATAAGATTTTGGGGTATTCCATTGAAGGCACCGTCCACTCAAAATGGGGTCGCTGAGATTTTGATGCCTAACAGTAGTGGGGCCCCCAACGGTATACTCATCCAACTCGCGTTGCCCAAAGTTGCTTCCGAAGCGAGAAAATTGCTTCGAAAATCGCTCGGATGACAGATTCGCCATGTTGGCTCCTCCCCTTTGAGTGGGCGTGACGTTCGTCCCGCGCCCATCCGTGCGCGTCCGACCAATCACCGTTCCGAAGAAATCGCTCTGCGGGCGCTGAAAACAGGGGTTTTTCGTGATTTTCGCGGATTTCCAACTTGATATTCGGAATCAGGTGTATGGGAAGGCCCTGGGACAGCGAAAACATGGAGATTGAAATTTTGGGTGGACGGTGCCTTTAAAGGCAATGTCTCACCAAAATTTAGTTGCCGAGTTTTTTGCATTTTGCAAGCCTGTCGGACCCTGTCTAGCACTGTATGGGCCTAAAATCGCACGAAGTTTTCAAAAACCCCGTTTTCTGAAGGCCCCGCGGAAGCAACATGAACGAGTTGTACCTTACAAATTTAGCATCAGCCACAGTGGCAGTAACAGAGGGGAGGTGGATGCCAAGTGGAGGAACATGTTCAAACGCGTAAGGGGGAGACCGAAGGAGTCGTCCGCGCGTACCAACAGGCTCTCCGCGTACCACTTTGAGCGAATTTTTCTCAGCGTAGAGGGGTCAAATTGAGTGGGACTTGTTGCAATGGCCTATCTAGAGGTCCCTATAATAGAATATGTGAAAATCCGCGCGACCTCTACTTCTGTGAGACACTGTCTTTAAGGCTGAGGGCGATTGCGCTAGATACGATGAATGAATGAATGAATGAGTATTACCAAAGAGGTATTGGAGAACGAGTTTCAACAAATTTCAAAGCACACTTCACCAATCCGTTTTTTGGGAATTTTGTTTGGTCATATTGATTGTACACATTCGCCATCGCCTTTGTAAACGTGCACATCAAGATTTCTCCTTGCCAGAGTTGCGACTATAGAAGGATACGTTTCGTTCAGTAGAAGCTCGGCCATTATCTCTCTTATGAAATTCGATTCCGTGCCGAGGCGATAATTAATAGGTCGCGCATAGCTGTAAACGTTGGTGGCGTGCGGCTTAATGGGGGTCGGCATGAGCTTCTTTGCATAATCAAGCTAACAAGGACTGAGGTGGTAACCCACCATGCGTAGCAAACAAGCACACAGAATCTAGACTGATTTGCGCAAGAAGTAGATTTTCGAGCTATGCCTCCAGATGAAGGAATATCTCTTACAGTGCTGGTTGAGACCGCTGTTCTGCATAATTTTACTAGGTATGTAGTGCACACAATATTATCAATAGTCTTTTAGAGCCAGTCCATTCTACTTTCCCATGTGTGTGTGTTTTTTGTCAACTTTTGCCTTTAGCAATAGTTCTTTAGCATTCTTTACGTTCGACAGGCATAACGGTTTTTATGCATCAACAACTACGATACAAAAGCGGAAGTCTTCAGTCAGAAAATTCTGTACTACGCGCTAAGTGTGGGTCAAGAATTAAGAGGGAAGGAAGGCGTAGTTTCCTTTATTCCTTATTCCTTTATCCTTGTCGTTAAAAATCAAGAAAACTTCAAAATAGGGGAGCTTAATGGACGCAAGAATTTCACAAATGCAACGATTGTAAAAATTTCTACCCATCTTGCAAGGGAAATGGTCCATTGATTGAGGGATCTGAAGTCCTTGTAGTTCCAAGCGCTGCAGAATTGGAATTCAATTTTGCTACAGTTATTGTCCAGCTTTTTCTGAGTATCAAACCACTATCTTCTTTTGAAAAGAGTCGCAAAATCCAATGCTGTAAATCTTATGAGGTTTTTGTAATTGTTTCGGCTCTGTGTATGACTAACAGATATTCACCATCGTTTTAGCGCATCATGAACTTAGTTGATAAGTATTATGAACGATCAAAATCTTTGCTAACAAGGGAAGGAAGGTTGGTCAAAGTGGCTTTTTGAAATGAGGTGTATATCACCTTGTAGAGCTTGGAATGCTGATTCCAGATCTACCTTTGCTATCTGCTGCGGGCTTCTGGGCGAGGAGTTATGAAGATTTTTGTGAGTAAAAATCTGAATGCAAAAGTAGGGTAAAATCAGTCGTAACCTTTTCCCGATTTTCAAATGAGGCAGCAGCGAATTAATTTGATTCAAGAATATTTGTTGCACCGAGTGACCCGACTACCAATTGAGCCCTATAAAAAATGTTACGACTAGCTTTAGCCTACTCTTGCATTCAGATTTTTACTCATAAAAACCTTCATAACTCCTCGCCCAGAAGCCCGAAGCAGATAGCAAAGGTAAATTTGGAATCAGCGTTCCAAGCTCTACAAGGCAGTGTACAAATTATTTCAAAAGGCCACTTCGACCAACCTTTCTTTCCTTGTAAGAGAAGCAGCCATTTTAGCGG